TCCGTCACTGAAGCAAGCAAGCCTCCTGTTCTCTTCAAGCTGCCTGGCTGCCGGCCGCCATCTTGGTTGGCAGTTAATTTGCATATCACCCTGATTAGCCAATAGGAAGGGTAGCGGAGGTACGGCTAATTACCATGTTTGTCTATTATTAGATAGGATATGAAAAAGTTGAGCAAACCCCATCTGAAAAATGGGTGACGTTAGAAGATTCTTTTGGCAAGTCAGGAACGCTATCATTTATTGTCAGACAGTAGTGACTAAAACAAAGGCACTACCAAAATTAAAGACTCACCAATCATTGATTTATTCTTATTTTGAGGATTTTGTTAGCTGACCTTTGCCCGGCCTTTGGCTGGAACATATAATATATATTGACATTATTTAAACATGTGGATATGGGTGCAAATATTCACATATGTGTGTGTATATGTGATGTGTTTGTAATTTTACAATTTTACAATTTCAGTTATTCAGCAACTTTACCATGCCTCTGCAATTTTTCACATTTCCCCCACAGGTATTTCTGATGAATACATAACGCCGATGTTTAGTTTTTACAAAAGTGTGGCAGAATTGAAAATGACTCAAGAAGAGTATGCTCTGCTTACAGCAATTGTTATTCTCTCTCCAGGTAATTTTGATGTTAGATTTTCATTTTTATGCCATTTGTTCATTTTTCCAGTATAATCATAATAATGTTTATTAAAGAAAATCTGAGAAACACAAAAACAGAAAAAAAATAAAAAGGCCTATAATCCCACTGCTTCAAATTGAATCATGTTAACATTTCAGTGTATTTCTTCTCAGCCTTTCTTCTAAACTTCACTTTCATTCAGTAAATGCATTTTTAATACCTACTATATGCTAAACATGGTTCTAAACATTGGGGAATATAGAAGTAAAGAAACAGGCAGGCCACAGCTGCATGGAGCTTACTACATTCTAGTAGGGTAAGAAAAACAACAGATGAAGAAACAAATAAAAATAATTTGTAGTGATTATTGAGGTGGCAAGTGCTACAAAAATATAAAGATGAGACTATAAGGAGAGAAAGTGGCAGTAGACTGTTATTTTAATTAGTGGTCAAGTAAGGCTTTTTTCAGGGGTTATTAAACAGGAGCCTAAATGAAATTATGTACATACTTTTTAACATAATAGAAAGCATACTGTCTTTTAAATTTTATTTTATTCATTTATTTTTAGCCCATGTCACACCTATCTTAGTTTTTTAAAAAAATATATGTTTTAATTGATTTTTAGAGAGAGAGGGAGAGAGAGAGATAGAAACATTGATAAGAGAGAAACATCATTGATCAGCTGCTTTCTGCAAGGCCCCCCCCGCCCCCCACTGGTGATGGAGCCTGCAACCTGAGCATGTGCCCTGATGGGGAATTGAACCAGTGACTTCTTGGGGGGGAGAGAGAGAGAGAGAGAGAGATGGGAGAGAGACATTGATGTATGAGAGAAACATTGATCAGTTGCCTCCCACACAGGCCCCCACTGGGGATCGAACCTGCAACTTAGGTAAGTGCCCTGACCAGGTATTGAACCCACAACCTTTAGGTGCATGGGATGACACTCCAACCAATTGAGCCACACCATAATGTCTTGTTTTAAAGTACTTTTCTTCAAACATCTTTCCCTATGTCATTAAAAAAAAATTAAAAAATTATACCGGAAAGGTTTATTGTAATGCATGCATCGTATTCCATTGAATCGATGACCAATAATTTACTTAATTTTTGCCATATGTTTGAACATTCAGAATACTTCCAATTTTTTGTTGTTCTAAACAATGTTGAAATGAATACCTCTGTATATGTATTTTTCTATTTTTTGCTTATTTATTTGGGAGTAAGTGATGCCACATTCATAATTTGTGGCCTGAAACCATTCCTGGCTTTGTCTGGAAGGTCATCCAGAAGGTCGTTCTGCTATTCTGCCGTTCGGTTGATTTGCATATTATGCCTTTATTATTATAGATATCAACACATCTCTGCTACTACTGGAATTTCATCACCATACATCTAAAGTTTGGAAATGGAGAAGTGTTTTTTGTTGTTGTTAATCCTCACCCGAGGATATTTTTCCCAATGATTTTTAGAGAGAGTGGAAGTGATGGAGGGGGAGGAGAGAGAGAGATGGGAGAGAGACATTGATGTATGAGAGAAACATTGATCAGTTGCCTCCCACACAGGCCCCCACTGGGGATCGAACCTGCAACTTAGGTAAGTGCCCTGACCAGGTATTGAACCCACAACCTTTAGGTGCATGGGATGACACTCCAACCAATTGAGCCACACCATAATGTCTTGTTTTAAAGTACTTTTCTTCAAACATCTTTCCCTATGTCATTAAAAAAAAATTAAAAAATTATACCGGAAAGGTTTATTGTAATGCATGCATCGTATTCCATTGAATCGATGACCAATAATTTACTTAATTTTTGCCATATGTTTGAACATTCAGAATACTTCCAATTTTTTGTTGTTCTAAACAATGTTGAAATGAATACCTCTGTATATGTATTTTTCTATTTTTTGCTTATTTATTTGGGAGTAAGTGATGCCACATTCATAATTTGTGTCCTGAAACCATTTTATATATGATATTAATTAAGTCAGAAGCTAGTTGTTACTTTGTTGTACCATAACAAATTATAATTAAAAAGAAGAAAAACATTTCTTCTTTTATTGATTTATATTTTTTATTGATTTCAGAGAGAAAGGGAGAGGGAGAGAGATAGAAATATCAATGATGAGAGAGAATCATTGATCAGCTGACTCCTGTATACCCCATACTGGGGAATGAGCCCACAACACGGGCATGTTCCCTGACAAGGAATTGAACCGTGACCTCCTGGTTCATAGGTTGATGTCCAGCCACTGAGCTACATCGGCTAGGCAAGAAGAAAAACATTTTGGCAGTATCTACTAAAATGTTACATGTATAAACCCTACATCCCAAGTTCCAGTCCTTGGGTTATGCCCACCAGAAATGATACTTATGTTCACCATACATGCTACTTTGGGGGCATTAATTGAAAGGGAATTTAGGGAAGGCCTGTAATGTTCTATATCTTGATATAGTTGTGATTATATGAGTACATGTAAGTGAGTGTGTGAAAATTCATCAAGTTGAACACTTCATTTGTACATTTCAGCTGTACAATATGTGTGAGTTACACTTCAAAAAGGTTAGCCTTGTTTTATTGATTTTTTACAGAGAGGAAGGGAGAGGGATAGAGAGTTAGAAACATCGATGAGAGAGAAACATTGATCAGCTGCCTCCTGCACACCTCCTACTGGGGATGTGTGGTACATGCCCTTGACCGGAATCGAACCTGGGACCTTTCAGTCCGCCGGCCGACGCTCTATCCACTGAGCCAAACCGGTTAGGGCAAACCTTCCACTTTTTAACTTTGTTGTTTTATGTTAAACTTCAAAACAGACAGACAATACATAAAGGACAGAGAGGCCGTAGAGAAGCTTCAGGAACCTCTGCTTGACGTGCTGCAGAAGCTGTGCAAGATCCATCAGCCTGAGAACCCCCAGCATTTCGCCTGTCTCCTGGGCCGCCTGACGGAGTTGCGGACATTCAACCACCACCACGCGGAGATGCTGATGTCCTGGCGCGTCAATGACCACAAGTTCACACCGCTTCTCTGCGAAATCTGGGATGTGCAGTGAGGAGCGCCCAGGGGCGGGGCCGGCCCTCTGTTTTCCTCCTGTCATAAAGCCGATGCGAAACTTTTCCTTCATTTCATTTGTGCCTGGTTTCACACAAGAATTTTGACGAATATTTATGCAGTAATTATATAACTTCCACAATTGTAAATACGGGGCTAGGTAGAATGACTTTCTCTACTTGTATTTTACACGGCTTCAGGGAATCTTTTCTTCTAATTGGCATGCCCTGTTTGCCTAACTAAATCGTTACTTCAATTCTATTTGTTGAAATAGGGAAAAATCTCATTTTGCTCTTCATCTTCCCTTATTGCATATATTTTATTAAACAGTTGTGTGCACTTTTGGCAATAAACTGAACATAATGGAAACAGGCTTTTATTTGAGAACAGAAATTGAAAAAATACACAAACTCTTATTTCTTTAAAAGATGAATGACATCCTATTGAGCCCAAGGGGATAAACTACAAAAGGATAAACTCTCACAATACTAATGCTACATTTTTTCATCCCTGGTGAATATTCATTCATTTGTAGTAGCCCTCTGATCATTTCATTTTCTTTGAAGTTCAAAGAGAATAACATGCAGAAAAGTTAATGATTATCATATAAAATATTCCCTAAGCATATTAGTTATGCTTTTAGGGGGACTACTTCCCGTAGTCGGAGTCTTGAGGCAGCATTTACAAATTCAGAGTATGCAGATAGCTCCAGTGATGGGACCGCCCTTTTCTCTATTGAAAGTGCTCACTGTGGGTTTCAGTGCATATAATTAATCATTTTGTTTTGTTTGCTTTTGGAAAACACTCCTTCAGCCTGGTGCACAGCTATTGTATACTTCCCCCCAAAGCAGGAATTAGTTCATTTCCTTCCTTCATTGTTATACTGTTGCATTCTCCCTCCCATTATCCTTTGGTGAATACAATAAAACACCTTCTATAAGTAATGGGCTTATATCTCCCTTTCTCCTGAAGTCAGCCAAAATGGAGCTTGCTTAGCAAGAAAAGGTTTTCCGTTTGTATTACAATACGGCGGCGACCCTGACGTCCTCAAAATAGCCGGTCAGTGGAAAAGGGAGTGAGTTGGGGTTCCATCAGTTGGGTTCCATCTGCTACAACAGCAACAACTTGAATCCTCACTAAGTACAAGATTCTTTCGCTGAACTCCATGGGGGAGTCCAAAGATGATTAAGACACAGTGATTGCCTGGAGGGGCTTACAAAGAAGCACGGAGGAGTGTTGTGTGGACTCAACTGGGAAAGTCACCTGGAAGAGGTGGTGCTTCCCTGGGCTTCGAAGGATGGCCAGGTCTTGCATGGGTCAAAGTAAGAGGGAAGGGTATTTAAAGTGAAAAGGAGGGTCGGGGGGAGGAGCAGGAGCAAAAGGAGGGAGGCGGGGAGTTGTCCAGATGTTAAAAGACCACAAGTAATCTAGGGGAGGGAAAGATAGGATGCACAGTCCCATTCTAAGCCTCAGTCTTACCATTGCAAAATTAAGGCATCAGCACCTGCCATATAAGGAGGTTTAGCTGATGAGTGAAGAGTAAGTGGGAAGTTGCAAGTCCACCAGGGGAGAAAGGACATTTAAAACAGAGAATTAAACTTCTGGAATGCCTGAAGGAGTAGATCCCACTTGGGGAACTGAGTGTGGTGTCCAGCTCACAAGGCATCTGTGGGGAAAGTGGTGGGAAATGAGCTGGAACTGAGGGGCCACTGTGGACATACAGAGTGAGGAGTTGATCCTATTCGTTTGGGTTTATTCAAGTGGTCAAGACCTTATAAGAGCAAATAATAATGCTTCTCATGGGGAAAACTGATTGCGATACAATAAGAAATATATTTTTGGTCTTTGCCCCCAGTTTCTGACATGGAGCATCTAAAACCCTTGGAATTTCCTAAGTGGGTAGGAGCATCTTTCATTATTCTTAACAAGCTCTTTTTGACTATATCTGTGTTTATGCTAATAGGATAACTGTTTGTGGAACTCTGCATGCTTTTGGATGGGAGCTGACTACCAGAGGAACCAACTGTGTTATTAGAGGGCTAGTACTTTCAGCCCCATCCCAGACCTTTTGGGGAGGGGAGAGGAGCCCACAGATGGTGGTCAATCATTAATGATCAATAAAAATATATTTTAAAAAAATATATTTTTTAAAAAAGAGTACTCTGATTTCCTCAGGGAAACCACTCCCTTTCCTTCTCCTAGTGATTCTACTGCAGCTTCAGAACTGGAAATCTGACTCAGGTATAACCAATCAGAGTATCACACATCTTAAGTCATAGTGAATGGTTTAGGATTGGGCAGGTGACCCATTCAGAGCAAATGAGATATTTTGCTTGGAGTATATGTAGGAGGTAGGCAGTATTGATCATTTATTTGTGTGTGTTGTCTTATTGTTCCAAATTCTTTACTCTTTTCCTGCAATGGAATTACATACCCTGGGCACCTTTGCCTGGTGACTTGTGCTGCCTCTCATAAGAGTAAGCAGCATATTGGTCCCAGCCCATAGATGTTGGGCTTGTCCACGTGACTTGCTTCGGGCTGTGGAATGTGGGTGGAAGGGACAGTATGCCAGTTCTGAACTGAGGCCTCAAGGACATCACACGTTTCTACCTGTGCTCTTGCACTTTGCCATCTGCCACGAGAAGAGGATGCCCTGGATGACTGCAAGTCCCAGAATGAGAGACAGAAGGAAGAGACCTAAACCCAGCATACAGCTTGAAGCCGTGCCCTTCCCCTCCACTGTGAGCTAACTTGCAGATCCACAAGCAAGAACAATCAATGTTTATTATTATAAGCCACTGAGAGTTGGGAGTTGTTTATTATATAGCATTATCACAGCAAAATGCTAAATAATATATCCTATTTGTATCCAGATCATTCCTCCCCTTCCCTCTGCTTGTATTGAGGCATGAGGAGGGCTAACCCTGCCTGCATTTTATAGGCCCCCCTGTCAGCTAGGTGTGGTTAGGTTCTGTCAATGGAAGGCATTGGTGGGAGATTAAAGGACAGAAAGGGAAAATCCAGGGTATCCTCGCTCTCTCTGCCCCACATGGCATCTCTGGTAATGACTGACTCTTCTTTTGGGCAAGCCCTACCCTATTGCTGATGCCGCAGCCTTCTGGATTGCTAAGCCCTAGAAGTGTAGTGGCTTCCTCATGTTGCTCATCTCTGGGTTGTCTCATCTGCTCCTGTTTATTGTCTCAGTGCTTTCATCTCTTCTGAAACCAAGTTCCTGTGTTAAATGTCCTCTTTTTGAAGTACCTCACATTTTTTTGGTTAGACTTGAACCTAAGAGAATGTAGAACTTGGAACTGCTGGAAGCCATCTTTGTAACCAGAGGAAATCTGAGCATAAAGCCAATATAAACAGCAGAGCCATTTGAGGCTGCGTTCTGGTTACATGATTCGAAATCTTAGGTTGAGCTTTGCCTAAAGCTAGAGAGTTCTATCTAGCGATTTCAATTACATGAGCCAATTATTCCCCTTTTCCACAAATGAATTTGAGAATGTTTTCCTATCATATATAACTAAAAAAATCTTATCTCTTAAAGGGACACTCTTGTTGGATTTAGGGCCTACCCTAGTCCAATATGATCTCATCTGAATCCTTTCATTATATCTGCAAAGATCTTATTTCCCAATAAGGTCACATTCTAAAGTTCCAAATGAACATGAATTCTGGAGGTGGTACTATTCAACCCACCACATACCTAATATTTTAGTATTAATAACAACGGTTACATAAAATTGTATATAATTGAATTATTTATATTTGTCAATGTATATTGGTAACATTCTTTTAAGATAGAGCTTAGTATTGTTTTTAATGTAGCTGGTTCTCAGCAGATTATCTGCTGAGTGAGTAGCTTAATTGTGAATTAATCAAGATTTCTATTGCCCCCAAACTTCATCTAGTATATTATCCAATGCACAATCCATAGATTGACATTCAGTACTGTAAAAGCATTAAAAACAGCAACAGTAACCACAAAAGGCAGAACAAAACAACTAATAAACCAAAAGCAAAAATAAAAAATCTCCAGCTATGGTATATTTTAAACAATGGAGCATTCCTGTAGGACTGTGAAAGAGCCAAATCATATTTCAATATCCACAGGGTATATGAGAGAGTCTCTACTGTATTCTGTAGAGAGGTTTAGTCAGATGAATTATTATTCCTAATGTAATAACTTAAAATGTAGATTTCCAAGCCCAATACTTATTAAAGTGGGGTACATCTACACAATTCTGGGAAAGACAGAACTGATAGACTTTGTCATCTGATGGAAGCAAACTGCAAAGCTCATTCTGCATGTTACGACAACTATGTCAATTTCAAGTAAAGTGAGAATCTCTGAAATATGGTTATTAACCTAACCACCAATTAGAAAATCTACACATGAAAGTAGATTGCAAGCTCATTAAGTGGAGCCCTCAATTACTAATTGCAGTGTTTAAATCAAGGTAGGTAAGATGGTGAATGCACATAGGGAGTGGGTTACTAACTGGGAATTAATGTAAAAGTGAGGTTGGGAAAGCAACAAGAACAGTTTTTCTTTTTTATAAGATAAGAAAAGCAACAACAATCAAAGAACTCCTCACCCAATCCCCACATTTAATGAGAAGAAGATGGGCTTAGAAAGAAGCAACTTGCATACACTGGCTATGGATTCACTTTCCAACATAATCTATAATAATAAAAGCATAATATGCTAATTAGACCAGACGTCCTTCTGCATGTCCTTCCAGACTAAGCTAGGGCTGCAAGGGAAACCTGGGTCCCAGGTGCCAGAGAAAAGCTGGTGCCAGCAGCTGGGGAAGGAAGGCCTACTCTTGTACAAATTTTGTGCATTGGGCCTCTAGTATCTTATATCTGTATAAGGAAGAAAAGTTATCAAAAAAACCAAACAAAGAGAATAAAAAGTAAGCAACCATAAAATATACTGCTGCCAAAGTTTCAGTAAATGGTTTAGAAATATTAAGTGGTGTGTGTGTGTGTGTGTGTGTGTGTGTGTGTGAGAGAGAGAGAGAGAGAGAATAGAGACACAGAAAGAGAATATTTATGTATATACCTCATATAGCATAGTTTCAAATGTTTAGGCACATTATTTGCATGTAAGAAACAATAAAGAATCTGTTAACTAATGACTCATCCAACAAGATCTATATAACAAAACTAGAGGCCCAGTGCACAAATTTCATGCATGGGTAGGGTTCCTAGGCCTGGCCAGCTATCAGGGCCAATTGGGGCCTTCCGGCTGCCGGCCAGGGCCTTCCTTCCTTCTGTGCCACCCCTTCCCTGGTGGTCAGCACACATCATAGCAAGTGATCGAACTCCTGGTCTCCCAGTCGAACTCCTGAGGGGACACTGCATATTAGCCTTATATATATATATAGATATACTTACTTAAAACACACACACACATACATTTTTATTGATTTCAGAGAGGAAGGTTTTAAATAGAAACACCTTAAAACAGGTTGATTTGAACAACAGTCCTGTAAAAATTGATCTATCAATTTTTAGATAATCATGAACAGCAAAGTGCTCTGGGACAACTGTTGGGCATCAGGTTCAATTAAAACTTATATGTCAACCTTTGATGACCATCTTCACCCACCCACCCCAAAAGATAAGTTCTGTGAGAGCAGGACACCTGTGCTTAGGGTGAGTCTGGTGAAGAACAAGTGCTCAAATAGTATTTGCTGGATTGATTTCTCAAATGTGTATCTCTTGCACAAATCAATCAGCTGCAGACCTAACCCTCCAACTAGCTTCTGAATATCTCTACCTACATGTTCCTCTATACTTGAAACTGAATACACCCCAAAGCAAAATGCATTATTTTTCCCCCAAAGTTGTTTTCTCTGTATTCCTCAGATGGGTATCACTGTCACCTGGTAGCCAAGTACTGACACGTCAGCCTCTTCGGTTTCTCCAGACACTTCTTCCTCACCATC